TTTCTTTTCTTTTCTTTTCCTTTCTTTTCTTTTCTTTCTTCCTTTTCTTTCTTTCTTCCTTTCTTTCTTCCTTACTTTCTTCCTTTTCTTTCTTTCTTCCTTTCTTTCTTCCTTCCTTTCTTCCTTCCTTCCTTCTTTCCTTTCTTCCTTTCTTTCCTTTCTTCCTTTCTTTCCTTTTTTCTTCCTTTCTTTCTTTCTTCTTTCCTTTCTTCCTTCCTTCTTTCCTTTCTTCCTTTCTTTCTTTCTTTCCTTTTTTCTTCCTTTCTTTCTTTCTTCCTTCCTTCTTTCCTTTCTTCCTTCCTTCTTTCCTTTCTTCCTTCCTTTCTTCCTTCCTTCTTTCCTTTCTTCCTTCCTTTCTTCCTTCCTTCTTTCCTTTCTTCCTTCCTCTCTTCCTCTCCTCCTTTCCTCCTTTCCTTCCTTCTTTTCTTCTTTCCTTTCTTCCTTCCTTCCTTCTTTCTTTCTTTATTTCCTTCTTTCTTTCCTTCTCCATCTATCTCTCTCCAGTATCATCAAAGTAAAAGCGACATAGGAAGGCACGGGGAGGCTGGACGCGCCAGGCAATGTTACGACCAGCAATCATGCTGGAACAGTGCTGCCCATTTCCAAAACGACTTCCCTGATGAGGCTCCATGTGCCCGGGATTTAACCTCGCGTAACTTTCTCAAATCCCTCCTTTGTCCTAAGGCGACCCCGAACGGAGCCGAGCCCAGCCGCCTTGTCCCGTGGGGGGAATGTTGCGGCAGTGCAGGAGGGTCCGGCCAGCACAGCCGAGACGGGGGCTTTGGGGAGCAGCGACATCGTCGGGAAAGGAGAGAGAAAATTGCTAGTAACATTCCTTCGAGTTCCGAGCCGACCCTTACTTCTCGTCCCAGCGCCAGCCCCTCACCTCTCCGCGATGCACTGGCTGCACTGGATCGCCCCCCGGCCCCATCCCGATGAAACCCCCAGCCCGGAGTGGAGCAGAGCTCGCTGGAGCAGCCCGCCCTGCCGGAGGTGAGGATGGGACCCCTCCTGTTGCTTTCCCCGACGGCATCTTTTCGCTTTCCTCTTCTATGCCCCCGTCGGACACGAACTTCCCCAAACCGAGCTGCGCGTCTGCTCCGGAGCG